TAAGACTATATATATATATATATATATATATATATATCACTTTTTATCTATAATTTTTAGATAATTTTATCCTAAATCTTTAAATAATAAAAAATAACATTTAAAGTTACTTCTATCCTCACAAAAGTTAACCACCCATAGTCACTCAAATCCTCAAATAGTTAATCACTTATTTTATTACTTAATCTCAAAATTTTATTTTATTTTAAATTTTTAAATAAAATAGAGGTATAAAATACCTCAACATCACTAGTGTTAGTATATATATATATATATATATTTTACTTTCAATCTTCAATAATTTAAAATTAATGTAATTATTTTTTTTATGTTGTTATAGTTTTTTCATATTAATGTGTTATTATGTTATATACTTACATAAATAATAAAATTTAAATTTTATTTTATAACATTTGTATATGAAAATATGCTATAAGGAAGTTTTGTAATCACAAATTTTTTTATTGGAGGCAATTATTAGAGAGAAGGAATAATAAATATATGTACTTTTTAATTATTTTTAGTAACAGTTTATTTTATAATAATGCATAAGTCTAATAATGATTAATAATTTGTTTTATAATATTTATTTTGATATAATATTTGTTTTTGCATAGAAAAAGTTCAAAGTCAATTCCAAGAAATAATAAAGCTTCATAGCATCTTTTTATCCAAGTCCAAGTAATCACATCTTTATAAACATGTTTATTTCACTGAGTCCTTCTTTAAGGCACTATTATTACACCTTTCGTGCAAGTCAGAACTTACCTAACAAGAAATTTTGTTATCTTAGGACTGTTATAGTTACGGTCACCATTCAGCGGGGCTTTGGTCATTGTCTCCCACTCTCCCCTATCATTAGGTCACCAACTTCCTTAAGCACTAGGCAAGCATAAGTCCCTGTACACGGTCTTACATAAAGTTGACAAAGTATGCTTAATCTCTAGATTTGAAATTACTATTTATATATTTGATATTGACCAATTCTGTACTTTTAGTAAGAGGATAAATGATTAAGGATTTATCTAGTGTAATATATTACATTATTCGAGAAATTCTAAATGTTGTCAAAGTAAAGGATCCTTAATAAGGGCGTTCTAATGCACAATAACCGAATACTTTTATCTGTAAATACTGCATGTTTTATTTCATTCATAAATCTATCTTCTTCCCTATGGGTTCTAGTTTCAATTAAAATACTAGTTTTTTACCGTTCATATGTTATGATTTGAATATACCACATCAATTTGTTATATATGGATGAAGAGATTCGATTAATACAAAGCCACTCATTATTTTTTTTTTCTCTAATAGATGGATAGAATTTCATCTAGGTTTGAATCCTACTAAGAGGTCTACCGGAGATCAAAAGGTTCATTGAAATTACATCTTAAATTAAATGAAGGGGTATTTTGGCGATAGTAGCATTAAATAAAGTTAATTTAGTTTAAATTTATTTATATTTGAGACAAAAAAAAAACATAACTTTATTTTGTTTATATTCAAGCAAAAAAGAATAGTAATTTTATAAAATTAACCTTGTTATTAATCTTCTTTATTATAAACAATTTAACACAACGACAACTTTCTAAAAATGTGTTATCAGGGGTATAAATAGAATATAAGTAATGTTAAAGCTTATGTTGTGTGGACTAAAAATTGTGAACTGAAATTTGACTTCTTGTTGCTTGTGAATTGAACCAAGAATTATGTTGATTTGTTGTTATTTTTATAATTCATTAGGAGAACTATAAACTAAATGAGTAAACTTATTTAATTTTGAATATTGTAGTCATAAATGTTGATGATATTTTTTATAGTATGGAGGATGATTTAGATATAATGTAAACCCCACCTAAAACAAAGAGAGAGCATATCACTATTATTAATCCTTCTAATCATGTTATAATTTTTATTTTTCTTTTTTATTGTAAAACTATATATTAATTTTTTAAAATTTATTTTTTTAATTAGGCCAATTGGCCTAATGGCCTAATGGTCCGACATGAGCCAAAAAATGACAGTTTGAAAAAAATATAGGTCAAGTCAGCTTATCTAAAAATAGTATTTAACCTATATATAGATTAAATTAGGTTAGGTCAGTTTGATTCGTTTGACACCTCTAAATATAAATAATAAGATTTGAATACATAAAAAGTAAAGTCAATATATATAATTGTTTTAATATCTATCACTATCTTTAAATTTTTTTTATTACATTGCTTATACTTCTGTGGATGTGTTTGGAAAAATCAGCTTTATAAGTTAGTTGAAATCATCCAAGACAACTAAAAGCATACAAGCTATAAGATAAGAGCTAAGATACCAACAACTTATGATCTAACCGATTGAATTGAAAGTATTTAATAAAATTAATTGATAAATTAATTCATTAATATAACATGATATATTTATTTATTTTAATAAAGAGAGAGACATTAATGTGGAGACAAAATGATTTTTAAATAAAGTATAAAAAAGATTTAAAGTGAAAATTATAATAAAAAAATACGTATTTATAAATTATAAATTATTTCAATTATCTTATAAAAATAGATTATAAACTCTGAAAATAAACTCACATACTAAATAAGTTTATTTTAATAAAAAAAAGTTTGTAGTTATTTAAAAGGTCGAATCCTCAAAATACCTTGTCATTTAGAACAAAATACATGTTTTCTCTTTTTAAGTGTTAAATTGTACTGAAAAGCGGTGGATAATTTTCCATAAAATTGAAAGGAACATTGAA